GATCTTCTCCGCTCAGGACCGCCAGCTCACCTCCCACCGCGCAGCCTCCGATCAACCCCTCGACGGGCCAGCTTCACGGCCAGGTCGACGCCGTCTTTGCCTACCAGAAGCAGCACGAGGCCGTCACGTCCGTCCGCCTTCCTCTCCTTCCCCTCCCCCACCTCGTTGCCGCGCGCAGGCCCTGACCCTCTCGACGTCCTGCACATGCAGCGCCCTGTACCGGTGGCTCATCGATGCGCGCGATCTCCCGACCGGCTGGGCTTTGCCGCTCCTCTACGTCGTGTGCCGCGACTTGCGCAAGACGGCCGAGCAGGTGCGTCCTGCCCTCTCTTCCTCGCCAAGTCGGCCCGCCGCACGCCGAGGCGTATTGGGACTGACTCCTGCGACGTTCTGCGATGTACAGGCCGACCAGCAGCTGCTCGCCAACGGGCACAAGGCGACAAAGCTCGAGGACGCGAGCCGCCTCCTGCAAAAGTGCTTCTCGTGCTGCCTCAACGACCGGTGCGTCCTCGCTTGCAGCTCTTCCTGTCTCTCAAGAGCCGTCATTGACTCGAGTGTGACCCGCAGAGCGTCCGACATGATGGCGTCGCGCAAGATGGGCACCTACTACCTCGCGTCGCTCCTCTTCAAGACGTACTTTCGCGTGCGTCGACCCTTTCGCTCTCTCCTTCAACTCGATCTCGCCCTCTGATTCTTGTCTCTCTCGGGCGCAGCTCAACTCGACCGCCCTGTGCAAGAACATCATCCGGGGCATCAACGCGGCCGACCTGCCGCCGCTCACCGCCTTTCCTCGCGCGCACCGCGTCACCTACTCGTACTACATGGCCGTCTTTGCCTTCCTGCGCGAGGACTATGCCCAGGCCGAGAAGGGCTTCGTCGAGGCGCTCGGCATGACGCACCGCAAGATGAAGCGCAACATCGAGTGCGTCCTCTCCACTTTTCCCCTCGTGCCGCAGGAGCGACGACGCCAAGGGTCCGAGCCTGACTGACTCACATCTCGCCCACAGACTCATCCTCGACTACCTGATCCCGCTCCTCCTCGTGCGCGGCGTCCTCCCCTCGCCCAAGCTCCTCGCGCGCTCGGCGCGCCACAAGACGCTGTACGAGCCGTTCGTGCGCGCGATTCGCCAGGGCGACTTTGCCGGCTACGAGCGCCAGCTAGAGGTGGCGCAGAAGAGGCTCATGCAGCGGGGCACGTACCTCGTCGTCGAGCGCGCGAGGGAGGGCGCCGTGCGGGGCCTGCTCAAGAAGGCGTGCGTCCCGCCTCCTTTCCCTTGCCTCCCTTTTCCTCCACTCTCCTTTCTCTCGACACCTTGGTCAGAACGGGTCCTGACGCTGCGCCCTCGTACGCAGCTGGGTCCTCGAGGGCAAGCCGGCGCGCATGAGCATCGACAAGTTCCGCGCCTACTACAACGCGGCGCAGGCGGTCGGGCTCGAGGAGGACGTGCGGCTCGGCCGGTTGAGGCGCGAGGCCGTCCCGAGACGGACAAAGGAGGGCGAGATTGACGGCGAGGAGATGGAGTGCTTGCTCGCCAACATGATCTACAAGGTGCGCCCGCGCTCCTCAGCCACTCTCGGTCCAGTCGCATCTCGAATGCGCCTGTACTGATCGTCGTCCCGTCGTCGTCGCAGAACCTGCTCAAGGGCTACATCTCGCACGCGCACCAAATCGTCGTCTTGTCCAAAGACAAACCGTTCCCTTGGTGCGTCTCCCTCTCTCCCCTTCCTTTCTCGCGCGCCCGACACTGACTCAGGACGACGCCCTCGCTCGCAGGTACCCGCCGTACCGCAACAAGGGCGAGGCGTTCGCGCGGCAACGAGCAGAGAGGGAGACGCAGGAGCGGCAGCGGGTGGTCGATTTGGCCGCGGCAGCAGGGACGGGTGCGGCTCCTCCAGCTTTGTAGTCGATGTGCAACCATGCCTGCGAGCTTTCCCGCGGCACAACTGAGAGCTTGAGAGCTGCTCGAGCCCGCTCGAGCGACGTGGTTTCATCTGTCTCTCGCGCCGCTCGTCGAAGCTCGTCGTCGCCCACCGCTCACTCGAGAGCTCGTGCACGCGCAGTACGCGCTGCCGACCATGCCTGCGCCACCCTCGATGCGCGGCAGCACCACGCCGTCCAGCCTGGCCGCGCCCGCTCCTCCCACCACCGCCTCGTCCTCATCGGCACCCGGCGTCGTCCTCCCTGGCGACGGCGACCTGTGGAGCAACATCCTCGACTCGGTCAAGGGCAGCAGGAGCACCCCGAGCAAGCCGTGCTTCGTCCTCGGTGCGTCTGGCTCGGTCTCTCTTTCGACGTCGCGCGGGGCCGACGCGTTGAGCGACTCGCTCTGCGCTCGCCTCGCTTGTCGGCTACGCTAACGAGAGCTGACCGCACGAGACTGTACCCGCAGGCGCACCGCACTCGGGCAAGAGCACCCTCGTCGACCGCCTGCGCTCCCCGACCGGCGAGCCCTCGTCCAGCACGGCGCACAAGGGCAAGGAGACGGCGCTCAATGGCGTCGAGCAGCAGCAGCTCGACCTCGGAATGAGCTACGACGTGATCGACGTGCGGGACGAGGGCTATGACGGCGGTGAGTCTGCGGTGCTCCCTCTCCTGGTCGGCGCGTTTGGTGGAAGCGGGCTCGCTCGTCAAAGCGAGGTCGCCTGCCTAGCTGCTTCCCCAGCCAGAGACTGACCAATGCGCTTGTCCGCCTGCAGATACCCTCGCCCGCCTCTCGGTCTACCAGCTCTCGTCGCCGCTCCCTCCCTATCCTTCCCTACTCTCGCTCGCCCTCGTGCGCGACTCTATCGTCCTCATCTGCCTCGACTGGGACCGGCCGTGGGAGTTCGTGCGGCAGTTGGAGCAGTGGGTCATCCTCCTCGACGAGCTCCTCGGGCGAGCGGGCAAGGACAAGGAGGGGGACCAGGTCGACGGGAGGGAACAACGTGCGTCCCTCGTTCGCCCTCGTCTCTCCCTAGCGTAGAGTCAGCTCACGAGCCCTCGAATGCGACGCAGTCGAGGCTTTTATCCGCTCGTACGCCGAGCCAGCCGCCCCAGGCTCGACTGCCCCGACCACCTCGTCCTCGTCAGCCGCCGCAGCACTCGTCGACCTCGACTCGCCGCTACCGCCCGGCACCCTCACCGATAACCTCGGCGTCGGGCTCATCTTCGTGTGCACCAAGGTGCGTCATCGCGTTCCGCTCTTTCAGGGACCGAGCGAGTCGGACGGGCCTGCTCACGACTCGCTCCCTCGCGGCCTCGCAGGCCGACCAGATGAACTCGCTCGAGCGCGAGCGCGAGTTCTCCGAGGAGCAGTTCGACTTTGTCCAGCAGACGCTGAGGACGATCGCCCTGCGTTGTGCGTCACCTCTCCCTCGTCGCGCCTTCTGTCCTTCGGTCGGCGGCGTGATTGACAAGGTTCACATGATCCACAGATGGCGCCGCCGTCTTCTACACCGCCCAGACGCTGCCCACCTCGTACGCCAAACTGCGGCAGTACATTGTGCATCGCCTCTTCTCGTCGCCGCCGTCCTCAACCTCCCTCGCCTCGCCTTCCTCATCGGCCGCGCAACCAACCTCTCCTTCCGCCGCCGTCACCTCGACCCGAGCCATCTCGGCAGCGCCGTCCACGGTCGCCTCGTTCCCCTTCCCGCACCGCGCCAACGTCGTCGACCACGAGGCGGTGCTCGTCCCCGCCGGGTGGGACAGCTGGGGCAAGATCCGCATCCTGCGCGAGCGGTTCGACTGCGAGACGGTCGGCCGAGGGTGGGAGGTCGACCTTGAGCGCAAGAGTGCGGCAGGAGCGACGTCGGCGGCGAGGGAGGGCGCGAGCGCAGGCGCAGACGGCGGCGAGGGCGAGAGGGGGCTCGAGAACGAGTACGGCATGGTCGTCGTCGACTTTGACGCCGAGGACTCGGTGCGTCCCTCCTTTCCTTTGTCGTCTCTTTGCACTCTCGCGTCGAGCAGCACGTCCAGGGCACCGATCGACGAGCTCGCACCCCCCGTCCGCAGAAGGTCAACCTCGCGCCGGCCGTCTCTGCGTTCGACGAGCAGGCGTTCCTCCGCGAGCACTACGACGTCCTCCAGGCCGACACGGCCGCCGACCCTCGCCTCGCTTTCCGCCAACCGGGCTCGTCGTCGTCGTCGTTGACGGGCATGAACGGGTTCGGCGGCGCGCTCGGCCCGAGTGTCGTCGGCCCGATGGCGGGCACGAGCTTGGACTTGCCGACCGTCGTCAGCACGATGGAGCGGGCGAGGGAGAGGGCGGATGCCGGGGCTGGAGCGGCGGCGGCGGGTGCGTCACGCGAGGAGAGGTACCGGGCCGGGGCCATGTCGCGACAGGTGCGTCCCGCTCGTTCCGCTTGCCGCACTCGGCCAGAACACTCGACTGACTCTTTGTGCGACGTCAACGTCTCATCGCAGAGCTCGTCGACCTCGGCCGGCATCCGCTCCCCTCCCCTCGGCGGCTCGACGTCCGGCGCACCCGGGCTCAACGGCGACCGCCCATCCCCGACCCTGTCGTCGAGCGCCACCTTCGCCGACCGCCCTTCCTCGCGCTCGTCCACCTCGGCAGCAGCAGGTGCGGCTGCGCCCGCAGCATCGAGCGCCGCAGGCGTCGCAGCCGGCGGCAACCAGGTCCTCGCCGACTTCTTCCAGAGCCTGCTCACGGCACGGACAGCGGGCACCGGGGCAGCTGCGGGCTCGGGTGCAGCAAGTGCGGCGGGAGCAGGGCAGGCGGCGCCCGCTGCGGGAGGGCTGCGGGCGAGCGTCGCGAGAGGCGCTACGCCGCCGTCGTCCTCGGGCGGTGCGGGCGCAGGAGAGAAGGCGGACGGGCAGTAGACGCGACGACGTGCAACACAGCTGGAGGAGTCACTCTGACCGCGAGCAATGGGACGTACTCGCAGCTTCGAGAGCGAGCCGACCGCGAAAGAGAGAAAGAGACTGCGAGAGGTCCGAGCGAGAGATCCAGCAGAGACTGAGCGACTCGCGCAGAGCGCTCGAAACTCGCCTGTCGAACTCTCGGCACACTGATGCAGAAGAACGGCTGGCATGCTCGCCATGCAGGCTGTCTAGAGATGCACCCGCACTCCCGCCGCTCGTCTAACTACCTGCCGAGCCCAATCCCGACGCCTGCACCGCCCGCCGCAGCCCTGTACCGCATGCCCTGTGCGCCTGCCGCACCAAAGCCCTTCGAAGCCGCTCCACTGAGGCCCGACCGCCCCGACATCGGCGGGAAGTAGCCCGGCAGGCTCTCGCTCGGGTTCGGGCTCGGCATGGCCGCCGCTGCCGCCGCCTCCCTCGCCGACTCGTGCGCGAGGTGTGCGGGAGGAGGACGCACGCGCGGATGGAGCGCGATCGAGGGCCCGTCGGGGCCCGACAGGTCGACCGAGGGCGTGTCGGCGCCCGAGGCGGACGCTGTTGTGGACGAGGTGGCGGTGCGGGACAGGAGCGGGTTGCGCAGAGGACGGTCGAAGTGAGGGGAAGGGGAGGTGGAGCTGGAGGAAGGGGGAGTAGAGGGCGACGGGTCGAGAGGAGAGGCGAGAGGAGAGAGGGGGGTCGTGCGCAGCGGCGAGGCGGCGAGGTCGTCGGCGAGTGGCGGGACGGCCGCCGCGTCGTGCACGTGCGCCTCCGAGTGCGAGTGCGAGTGATGGTGGTGGTGGTGGTGGCGCGACTTGTCCCTCGACAGGCTCGGGAGGGAAACCTCGACGCGGCCGGGCCAGACGACGCGGTCCTGGATCGCCGCCCGGATGCGCGCGACGAGGAGCTGCTCGATCTTGGGCACGTCCTGCAGCTTGGCGCGCGAGCCGAGGAGCGACGACGTGGCGAGCTGCAGCTCAAAGTCGGGGTGCAGCGAGAGGTGGACCGACGGGTGCCCGGGGTGGTGGTGGTGGTGCGGCTCGGTCGAGGACGAGGACGGCGCAGGTGCAGGCGCAGGTGCGGGTGGCGGCAGCTCGACGGTGAGGGTGCCGGAGAACCGCTCGAGGGTGAGGGAGAGCGAGATGGGCAGGACGGCGAATCGAGGTCGGGGGAAGTTGAGGACGACCCGGGTCGAGACGGACAGGACGACCGTGTCGATGTAGTCGAGGTCGAGCTCGACGCGCTGTATGCTCATCGATAGGTGAGCTCTTGTGTCGACCGAGAGAGAGAGAGAGAGAAAGGCGAGGACGCACCACGCTCTCTCCTCCCACCCCGCTCGGCCGCACCCTCGCGTCGCTCAACGCCGGAAACCCCTCGCCGAGCTCGACCTCGTCCACCTCGACGAAATCGAGCCCGACCATGCCCTGCGCCGCCTCTGCGCCCTCCTCGGTCCCGCCCGTCCTGCGGTTGAGCGCCTCCTCGATGAGGGCGCGCGCGCCGCCCGACGCGTGCGACGCCGCGAGGGCGCGGTACGAAGATATGAGCTGGGCCGAGAGGACGTTGAGCCAGTCGAGCGACTCGGGCGGGTGGGTCGACAGGTCGTACGAGAGCGCGCCGAGGAGTGCGGCCGCGCTCAGGGTGGCCGCGGGAAAGTCGGGAGGGGTGCGCGACGAGGCCTGTGGGCGTCGGCGAGGGGTCAGCGGTCGATTGGCGCGCCCTGCCGCTACGCGTCGAAGAGAGAAGATGGGCGCACCTTGGCCTTGCCGCCGCCCTTGCCAACCTTGCCGTTCTTCTGCCCCCGCTTCCCCTTGCCGCCCGCCTCGTCCTCCTCGCCTCCACCCTCGCCTCGCGCCGCCGCTCTGAGCCGCTTGCGCTCCTCCCTCGCCCGCTTGGCCGCGTCCGGGTCCTCGAACACGACGTACTTGAGGAAGAGCGCCGCGAGGATGATCCTGCGAGGCGAGGCGAACGGTCAGCGAACTCGCCGCAGACGGAGCGACCCGCTCGATAGAGAGAGGGGGAGAGAGAGGACGCACATGCTCGCCTGCCCGAGAAGCACGCCTTGCGTGAACGAGAAGAAGGGCGCCGAGCTCTGCGTCGGCGCAGGATGCGCCTGAGCCGGCCGCGGTGCCAGGAGCGCACCCTGCGGCAGGCCGGCTCGCGGCGCATGCACTGCGTGCGCTGCAGGTGTTGGCATGGCGTGCGGGTGCGGCGTGCCGGCCGAGGGCGGACTCGGGAGCGAGAGCGGGGTCGACAGCGACGATGAGGCGATGGGCGAGGGAGGGTGCAGAGGAGCGACCGAGGCGGGCATGCGACTGTCGGGGAGCGGTTCCTTCGACTCGAGTGCAGGCTGCGGTGCCGCTAGCCCTGGCGACGAGGGTGTGGAGAGCCGTGGGAGATGAGGGTCGTCGCCGGACTTCGCGTCCAGCGGACCGTCAAGTCGGCGAAAGCAGCGACGTCTCGCTCGCGCTCTTTCAGCCTTTCGTGGACGTGCTCTGCGAGGAAGCGATACCGACAGAAGCTCTCGTGCAGTACGGCGCGCAAAGGGCGAGAGAGAGAGAAGGACGAGGTCATTGCGCGCGCGAACGGCGAGAGCGCGGTTGACTGGGTATCGGGGAGCTCTACGGCAGTAGGAGGGAGAGTGACTGGCAAGGAGGGCGTATCGGCGGGCGTGAGGTGTAACGAAATGCGAAGTGGGCGGACGAGGTGGGCAGAGGGGAAGAAGGGAAAGAGGTGGGAGAAGGAGGGCGAGGGCAAGGCGCATCTTGTGGCGGTCGACGAGTGTAAGGCGCCTGTCGACAGCTTGAAACGGGCCTTGCGACGAGGATCGACGGACGTAGGACGGGCCGGTCACGCTCAGAACGTCTCCTCCTCCTCCTCGTTGACGAGCTCCTCCTGCGCATCTTCGGGGACCTCGAAGCCCTCCTGCGCGCGCACGAAGGGTCAGCTCGGGCACTCAAAAAAGGGACAGGGGGGAGAAGGAGAAGACGCACCTCGGTGCTGTACAGGATCTGCTGCATCTGGAGGAGCGTCTCCTTTTCGGCGTCCGTGACGCCGTTGCCGTCCGGCTCTTGCTCGGAGATCTCGAGCCTCGCGCCGATGATGATCTCGATGTCGCGCAGCTGCGAGTGGCGGTGTCGTTCAACGTCAGTCTGCGCGCTCGACAGAGAGAGCACGACGAGGACGACGAGAAACGGCGCCACGCACCTTGTTGAAGTAGAAGTCGCGCTCCTTCTCGAGACCCTCGACCGAAAGCTTCATCTCGTTCATCTGGCCCGTGAGCGCCTCGAGCGCGGCCGGGTCGACGCCGCGACTGCTCGCCGCCGATGAGGACCGTGCCGAGGGCCCGCCGACGCGTGCGGCGCCGCCGACGGGACGCGCCGCAGAGGTGCGGGCTGCCGTAGCTGCGGGCGAGGGGCATCGTCAGTGACTTGGCCGGTGGGCGAGAGAGGGTGGGGCGAGACGAGGGAGGAGAGGGACGCACCAGCTGGTCGCCTCGCTGCCGCCGCCGGAGGAGCCCTTGCCGCGCCCGTCGCGGACGGCGCACGCGGTCCGGGCCCCGCCGCACCCGCACTCGGTCCGCCGGCACCCCCTCGACGGGCGACCGGGTCGTACTCGCCGCCGGGGAAGTTCATGTCCCAGAAGCGCTTGAGCCACTGGAGGAACTCGAGGTTGTCCTGCATCTTGCAGCGCACGAGGCGGTCGACAGGGATGGGCTGTGACGCGCAAGGGTCAGTCCCACGTGCGGGGGAGAGAGACAGACAAGGGAGGGACGCGCCTTGTCGATGGCGTGCACCTTGAAGCTGTTCTGGAGGACGCGGAAGTTGGCGAGGTACTCGTACTCCTGCTTGGCCTGCATCTTGACCTTGTTCATGGCGACGTCACCAAAGATCGAGTCGATGATCTGGCAGTAGACGCCTCCCGTGCCTGGTGTCGCGGGGCCGCATGTCGGAAGGAGGAGAGGCGACGAGGAAGGAGGAGGAAGAGGCGAGGTCGCGAGTCGAGAGGGCCGGGGTGGGCGAGGGGAGCGGTCAAAGCACGCGAGTCGAGTGTGCAGGAGATGGCGCACAGGGCGGGCGAGGAGGAGAGGGAAGAGGGAGAGGGAGGGAGGAGGAGGAGGTCAGCCAACAGCTCTGGTCGCCGCGTCGGCAGCCCTCGCGGGGGCGTCTCGAGAGCACGAGGTGACAGGGGAAGGTGAGCGTACCGCATTGCTCGACCTGCACAGTACGCAGAGAGGGAGGGGCGGGGAGGAGGGTGAGCGAACCGAGCCGGCTGGATCGACGACCTCGTCTTCTCGAGTCTCGACGGCGCGAGGAGCGAGGTGCGGAGGAAGGCGAGGGCTCACCTTGGTCAGGCTGAGCTGGAGGAGGTCGTTGATCCACTCGAGGAGCTCTGTGCGCGAGCTGGCCATGGTGATGCGTGGTGGGCCGATCGAGGTGGGCGAGGGCGGTCGGGTGGGTGCAGCGGGGGCCGGTCGGGCAGGCTTGGGGAGCGAGTGCAGCTAGTGCGTAGGAGTGGGCGGGTGCGAGAGTTCGATGACCGGTTTCCGCGGAGGAGCGCTTGCGACGGCGGCGGCGGCCGACGGCGACGGACCTCCTCCTCCTCTTCGTCTCCTCCACCCACAGCTGCTCGCTCGACCCGCCACAGCTAGAGCAGCACATCCAGCCTCGACACACAAAACCGCCCATGCTCCCCGCACGCTCGCTGCGCCAGTGCGCCACCCCGCTCCGCCGCCTCTCGTCCCCCTCCGCCGCCCATCGGCGCAACTTGTCCCTCCGCCACGCCCTCCAGGGCCTCGTCCAGGCCAAGTCCACCACCGACTCGCACTCGGACAAGCCCTCGCGCAACGACAACCGCCCGCCCTCGCTCGACGACTTCTTCGGCGGCTTCCTCGGCAAGCGCCCCTCGTCCGACAAGGCCATCCCCGGATCGCCAGCCGCCCCGGCCGCCGACCTCGCACCCAAGGACCCGATCAAGGGCCTCTTCGGCCAGCAGGCCGGCGACACGACCGGCGGTGGCGGCGGGCCCAACAAGAAGCGCGACGGCAAGGACCCCAAGGGCAACAAGAAGGGCACCGACGGCGGCGAGGGCGGGCCCGGTGGGCCCCAGGCCCCGAACCCGAGCGCGACGACGCTCGTCGCGACCACCGTCGCCATGTACGTCCTGTACCGCCTCTCGAGCCAGTACGACCCGACCAGCCGCGAGATCACCTGGGCCGAGTTCCACTCGGCCTTCCTGTCCAAGGGCCTCGTCGACAAGCTCACCGTCGTCAACAAGAGCCGCGTCCGCGTCCACCTGCACTCGAACGCCCAGCCGCAGGGCGCCGCGCCGGGCCAGGGCGCCTACTTCTTCAGCATCGGCTCGGTCGAGGCGTTCGAGAAGCGCCTCGACGAGGCCCAGCACGAGCTCGGCATCCCTCTCGGCGAGCGCCTCCCCGTCGCGTACCACGACGAGATCCCGCTCGGCCAGACCCTCCTCAACCTCCTCCCGACCCTCCTCCTCATCGGCTCGACCGTGTGGATCTACCGCCGCATGACGGGCGGCGGCGCAGGCGGCGGCCTTCTCGGCGGCGGCGGCGGTGGACCCGGTGGCGGCGGTGGACCGGGCGGCATCTTTGGCGTCGGCAAGAGCCGGGCCAAGATGTTCAACCACGAGACCGACATCAAGGTCAAGTTCAACGACGTGCGTCCTCCTCTCTCTCCTCTTTGGCGACGCGCACTGCGATGTGCACGTTGACTGACGAGCTTGTCCTACGTGCGCACAGGTCGCCGGCATGGACGAGGCCAAGGAGGAGATCATGGAGTTCGTCAAGTTCCTCAAGAACCCGGAGCACTACGAGCGCCTCGGCGCCAAGATCCCTCGCGGCGCCATCCTGTCGGGACCCCCCGGTACGGGCAAGACGCTCCTGGCCAAGGCGACGGCGGGCGAGGCCGGCGTCCCGTTCCTGAGCGTGTCCGGCTCCGAATTCGTCGAAATGTTCGTCGGCGTCGGCGCCTCAAGGGTCCGGGACCTGTTTGCGCAGGCCAAGAAGAACGCGCCCGCGATCGTGTTCATCGACGAGATTGACGCGATCGGCAAGGCGCGCGGCAAGGGCGGCCAGTTTGGCGGCAACGACGAGCGCGAGTCGACCCTGAACCAGCTCCTCGTCGAGATGGACGGGTTCGGCACGGGCGAGCACGTCGTCCTCCTCGCCGGCACCAACCGCTCGGACGTCCTCGACCCGGCCCTGATGCGCCCCGGCCGCTTCGACCGCCACATCAACGTCAGCAACCCGGACGTCGGCGGCCGCCGCCAGATCTTCAACGTCCACCTGCGCAAGCTCGTCCTCGACATCCCGCGCCCGGACAAGAAGAAGGAGGCGGTGACCGCCGAGGCCGAGGACGGCGCCGAGGACGGCATCGCCGAGGGCTCGTCGTCGTCGGGCGGTCCGAGCGGCGGTCAGCCCGCCATCGCGCACTTCCAGCCGGCGCTCGGCGGCGTCGTCGCGTCGGCCACCGCGTCCGACGCTACCGTCACGTCGTCCGCCATCCTGCGCGCCTCGCCCGCACCTGATGCGCCCTCGTCGTCGTCGCCGTCGGACGCCGCACCCGCACCCGGCTCGGCGCCCAAGAGCAACTTCGAGTCGATGTACACGCTCAAGGCCGACGACCAGCCCGCACCCGACTCGCCCCTCGGCAAGCTCATCGCCAAGCTCGCGGCGCACACGCCCGGCTTCTCGGGCGCCGACATCGCCAACGTCGCCAACGAGGCGGCCCTCATCGCCGCCCGCCTCGGCGCCAACGCCGTCAGCGAGAAGCACTTTGAGATGGCGATCGAGCGCGTCATTGCCGGCATGGAGCGCAAGAGCCGGGTCCTCGACAAGGACGAGAAGAAGACGGTCGCGTACCACGAGGCCGGTCACGCCGTCTGCGGGTGGTTCCTCGAGTGGGCCGACCCGCTGCTCAAGGTGCGTCCGAGCTTGATCTTTCTCGGCGAGGGAGGCGTGCAGCAGGTTCACCGAGCTGACCTTGTCTCCCCTCCCGATCCTCCTTCCCAACCCTCTCAACGCCTCTCCCTCTCTCTCTCTCTCGACGGCGCCTCTCTCTTCTCCTCGACGTCGTTGCCTTCTCGTCTCGTCTCGTGGCACCGTGTCGTGCTCGCGTCCCCCCTACTCGTCCCTCGTCCACCTCGCCCTGCCCTGCTCGCCCCCTCGCCTTCGCCTTCGCCATGCAGGTCTCGATCGTCCCTCGAGGTGTCGGCGCGCTCGGCTACGCACAGTACTTGCCCAAAGAGCGGTACCTGTACACGACCGAGCAGCTCGTCGACCGCATGTGCATGACGCTCGGCGGGCGCGTCGCCGAGGAGATCTTCTTCAAGCGGATCACGACGGGCGCCCAGGACGACTTGCAGAAGGTGACGAGGATGGCCATGGAGGTCATCGCCAACTGTGCGTCCCTGTCTCTCTCTCTCTCTCACTCTCTGTCTCTGTCGGTGGCCCGGTCGATTGTCGATCGGAGAACTGACCGTCTCCTCCTTCTACTCCTCCCCCCTTTCTCGCCTGTCGTCTCTCGTCTCGCCCACTGTCACCTCTCCTACGACGACGACGACGACACAGACGGCATGAACCCGGCCGTCGGCCCGTTGTCGTACCGCCAGGACCAGGAGTCGTTCCAGAAGCCGTTCTCGGAGAAGACGGCGCAGCTCATCGACGACGAGGTCCGCTCGATGGTTCGTCGCGCGCACCAGCGGTGCCACGACCTCCTCACCGAGAAGAAGGAGCAGGTCGACAAGGTGGCGCGCGTCCTGCTCGACAAGGAGGTCCTCAGCCGGTGCGCCCTCACTTTCTCTCCCTCACCTCATTTCCCCTTCCTCGCCTGACGACGACACCTTCGTCCACCCCTCACAGGAGCGACATGATTGCCCTTCTCGGCCCTCGACCGTACGGCGACGCGTTCGACGACGCCGTCTCGTTCGGCTCTGCAGCGCCCGAGCCGACGGGCGACAAGGAGGCGCCGCTCGGTCACGGCATCGAGGGCGGCCTCGGCGGCGGCATCGGCAACGAGGTCCCGAGCCCCAAGGGCATCGACCAGGGCATGTGAGCGCTCGACCGCTCGGCCCGCGTGGTCCTCTCGAGCAGACGCCCTTCCGCGCCCGCTCTGCCGGCCGTTCCTCCTGCACCCTCGTCCCGGCCTTCTAGCTCCCCCCCTCTCTCCTCTACACATAGTCTGTACCTGTAGCATCTTGAGCCTCGAAGAGCGCAACGCACGATTCTATCGATCCGCCGTCGTCGCCCTCGTGAGAGCAAAGAAGCTCTCCCCTGCTCGAGAGCTCCCGAGTCGGTGCGACTCGCGCGAGTGCCGGGTCGCTGTTACGTCGTTTGTTGAGCGTGCGCGAACGAGCAGCTGAGAGCGGACGCGTCTGGCAGAGCAGGGCGCTTCGGAACCTGGTCGACCTTCTCAAACGCACGGTCCGCGCATCTGTGCTTCGGGCTCGAGGGTCGCGAATGGCCCGCTCGACGGGTCGAGCCTAGCTGTTCGCGCTATCGAGGACTGTCGCCGCAGGAAGGATCTCGCCCGAAACCGAGAAGTTGACCTCGTCGAGCGAGAGAAGGTAGCTTCGGGACGCTGTAACTCCTCGAGAGTAGTTAAATCCCGGGTTCCGCCGCTCTCACGGTCCTTGCTGAGACGGATACTCGACGTCTAGAACCTGTCCCTCGCCTACTTCTCTCGAAACCGAGAAGTTGACCTCGTCGAGCAAGAGAAGGTAGCGGCGGGACGCTGTAACTCCTCGAGAGTAGTTAAATCCCGGGTTCCGCCGCTCTCACGGTCCTTGCTGAGACGGATACTCGACGTCTAGAACCTGTCCCTCGCCTACTTCTCTCGAAACCGAGAAGTTGACCTCGTCGAGCAAGAGAAGGTAGCGGCGGGACGCTGTAACTCCTCGAGAGTAGTTAAATCCCGGGTTCCGCCGCTCTCACAGTCCTTGCTGAGACGGATACTCGACTTCTAGAACCTGTCCCTCACCTACTTCTCTCGAAACCGAGAAGTTGACCTCGTCGAGCAAGAGAAGGTAGCTTCGAGACGCTCTCACTCCTCGAGAGTAGTTAAATCCCGGGTTCCGCCGCTCTCACGGTCCTTGCTGAGACGGATACTCGACTTCTAGAACCTGTCCCTCACCTACTTCTCTCGAAACCGAGAACTTGACCTCGTCGAGCAAGAGAAGGTAGCTTCGAGACGCTCTCACTCCTCGAGAGTAGTTAAATCCCGGGTTCCGCCGCTCTCACGGTCCTTGCTGAGACGAATACTCGACGTCTAGAACCTGTCCCTCACCTACTTCTCTCGAAATCGAGAAGTTGACCTCGTCGAGCAAGAGAAGGTAGCGGCGGGACGCTGTAACTCCTCGAGAGTAGTTAGATCCCGGGTTCCGCCGCTCTCACGGTCCTTGCTGAGACGGATACTCGACGTCTAGAACCTGTCCCTCGCCTACTTCTCTCGAAACCGAGAAGTTGACCTCGTCGAGCAAGAGAAGGTAGCGGCGGGACGCTGTAACTCCTCGAGAGTAGTTAAATCCCGGGTTCCGCCGCTCTCACGGTCCTTGCTGAGACGCTTACTCGACGTCTAGAACCTGACCCTCACCTACTTCTCTCAAAACCGAGAACTTGACCTCGTCGAGCAAGAGAAGGTAGCTGCGAGACGCTCTCACTCCTCGAGAGTAGTTCAATCCCGGGTTCCGCCGCTCTCACGGTCCTTGCTGAGACGCTTAGTCGACGTCTAGACCCTGACCCTCACCTACTTCTCTCGAAACCGAGAACTTGACCTCGTCGAGCAAGAGAAGGTAGCTGCGAGACGCTCTCACTCCTCGAGAGTAGTTCAATCCCGGGTTCCGCCGCTCTCACGGTCCTTGCTGAGACGCTTAGTCGACGTCTAGAACCTGACCCTCACCTACTTCTCTCGAAACCGAGAACTTGACCTCGTCGAGCAAGAGAAGGTAGCTGCGAGACGCTGTAACTCCTCGAGAGTAGTTTAATCCCGGGTTCCGCCGCTCTCACGGTCCTTGCTGAGACGCTTACTCGACGTCTAGACCCTGACCCTCACCTACTTCTCTCGAAACCGAGAACTTGACCTCGTCGAGCAAGAGAAGGTAGCTGCGAGACGCTGTAACTCCTCGAGAGTAGTTTAATCCCGGGTTCCGCCGCTCTCACGGTCCTTGCTGAGACGCTTACTCGACGTCTAGACCCTGACCCTCACCTACTTCTCTCGAAACCGAGAACTTGACCTCGTCGAGCAAGAGAAGGTAGCTGCGAGACGCTCTCACTCCTCGAGAGTAGTTCAATCCCGGGTTCCGCCGCTCTCACGGTCCTTGCTGAGACGCTTAGTCGACGTCTAGAACCTGACCCTCACCTACTTCTCTCGAAACCGAGAACTTGACCTCGTCGAGCAAGAGAAGGTAGCTGCGAGACGCTGTAACTCCTCGAGAGTAGTTTACTCCCGGGTTCCGCCGCTCTCACGGTCCTTGCTGAGACGCTTAGTCGACGTCTAGAACCTGACCCTCACCTACTTCTCTCGAAACCGAGAACTTGACCTCGTCGAGCAAGAGAAGGTAGCTGCGAGACGCTGTAACTCCTCGAGAGTAGTTTAATCCCGGGTTCCGCCGCTCTCACGGTCCTTGCTGAGACGCTTACTCGACGTCTAGACCCTGACCCTCACCTACTTCTCTCGAAACCGAGAACTTGACCTCGTCGAGCAAGAGAAGGTAGCTGCGAGACGCTGTAACTCCTCGAGAGTAGTTCAATCCCGGGTTCCGCGGCTCTCACGGTCCTTGCTGAGACGGATACTCGACGTCTAGAACCTGACCCTCACCTACTTCTCTCAAAACCGAGAAGTTGACCTCGTCGAGCGAGAGAAGGTAGCTGCAAGACGCTGTAACTCCTCGAGAGTAGTTTAATCCCGGGTTCCGCCGCTCTCACGGTCCTTGCTGAGACGGTTACTCGACGTCTAGAACCTGACCCGCACCCACTCCTCTCGAAACCGAGAAGCTCGCGACGCCCGTTCCCCTCTCTCTTTCTCACTCTCGCGGTCTCGCTGCAGCGGCTGTACTGCGGGATTGTCGACTCAAGCGGGGGCTATCTACAGAAGGGGTTCGAGGATACGGAACTCAAAGCTTGGGAGCGCCGGCGGGGAGGACCTTGTCGTTGACGAACTGGCGCCAGTCGTCGCCAGAGAAGGACGACGAGATGCTCGGCTCGGCGAGGCCGCTGCGGACGTCGCGGGCCGGGTCAGTCGCGCCACTCGAGCCACATCGAGAGAGGAAGAGAGCGAAAGGGGGGCGCACTCGAGGAAGACTGTGGGCGTGACGTGGACAGCGCGAGCGCGGGCAAACTTGATCTGGAGCTTGAGGTCAGCCGTGACGGGGGTGCCGCCGTTGCCCTTGCCGACCGAGATGGCGTCGAGAAACTGCTGGCGGTCGACGCCGATAGTAGACGCGGCGAGGTCGGCGAGGCGGGCGCGTGTGTCGTTGGGCGACTCGGTAGCGCAGGGCTCGTCGTAGTAGGCCTGTGGAGGGGGGCCAGGGTCAGGCCGAGGCGGGACAAGGAGGCAATGGAGAGAGTCGACGCACGTCTTGGCCGTCGATGAGGGCGTAGAAGTAGGTCTTCCACGCGTGCTTGACGTCGGGGTCCGAGTAAGTCGCAGAGGACGACGAGTCGACGAAGACCTTTGACGCGGCGAGGGCGGCCTCGTGGACGAGGGTCGAGGACGCGTGCCACGGCTGCGGGACCTGGCGGACAATGACCGACAGGTGGTCGGCGAGTTTGGGCGAGTCGATGAGGGGCACGAGGTGGTCGCGCACGCCTTGGAGCTGCTTGCGCGAGAAGGGGCACACGATGTCGAGGAAAAGCTCGAGGGTGTGGGCTGCGGTGGGCGAGCCGGCGATGCGGTGCGTGGCGAACTGCGGGGCGAGGGCCATGGTGGGCTGGAGCTGGAGGTCGGGACGAGGTGGGGGCAAGTCGTCGGGGGGACGAGGAGAGGGATGGCAGGGAGAGGTGGACGGTCAGCGCGGGGTAAACAGGGCGATGCACAGGCACCAGTGGGACTCACCTGGTCGATCAAGGGACTAGCCGAGCGAGGTGGACGAGGACAAGAGGGAGGACGCCGTGGCTCGGTCTCATCTGCGTCCGCTCTCCTCGTCAGCCACCAAGCCGCCGCCACCGAGAGCACCCTGCAACGCGTTACCGACACGCACAAGCACGGTGATGCAATCTGCCGACCGCAAGCCCCTCGCCACCCTCCCGCTCCTCCCCTTCCTCGTCGCGTCGTCCGCCTCGCCCAACAAGCACCACCACTCGCTCAAGCACCCCCGTGCCATGAGCCTCCTCCCCTCACCCTTTGCCCCTCCGCCTCCACCCGCCAGCCCGCGCCGCACGGCCACCGCCGCGGGTCGCCCACCTCTCGCACCGCTCGACGACGCGTCGGCGCCAACCGCGTCCACCTCGCTCGCCTCGCCCTCGCACGCCATGATGCTCGACGACGACGCGCAGAACCTCCACGACGACGACGAGCCCCACTCGAGCCCGCGCTGGCTCATCGACACCTTCCTCCAGGTCGGCGCCGCCTCGCCGGCCAAGCGCAGGGCCGCCCGCATGCTCCCGCCCCACAGCCCGCGCAAGCCTGCCGCCACGCCAAAGGACGACGACACCCTTCCGAGTGCGTCTCACCTCTCTCTGCGTGCGCCGCACGTCGACTGACCCTCTCCCTCTGGCCCGCAGCCTGGTCCTTCTTCGAGGACGACCCGTCGACATCCGCGCCCGACCTCGCCGAGCCCACCACGCCCACGACTGCCACCGACCCGACTGCCCCGTCAGGTGACGACGACGGCTCGGCGACCCCACCCGAGAAGGAGAACACGCGCCCGCCGCGCCGACCTCGCACCCGCTCCCTCTCGATCGCGCCTCCCGCACCACCGCACGCCCTCACCCTCCCCGCCGCCGCCGCGACGCCGACCACCGGGATTGCCGTCCCTCCTGCGCCCCCCGACTCGCCGCCGCGCACGCCTCCCGCCGCCACTGCCGCCTCGACGAGCACCTGGCTCTCGCCCTCGTTCGCGACGACGGCGCCGGCGGCGAGCGGCGGCGCCCTGTCGCTCGGCCTCAGCTCTGCCGGCGGTGCCGTCGCACCCTTTGCGTTCGCCGAGAGCGGGCCGACGTCGTTCGCCGCCGCGGCGCTGTCGCCTCCCATCGGCGCGTTCGGCGACGCCGGGTCGCCCACGGGCTTGAGCGCGTTCAGCGGGCTCTTGCCGGCGTTTGCGACGGCGGGCACGAGGGATGGACGCGATGGCGGGCCGGGCCAGAAGAAGCGCGAGAGCGGCGAGGGGTTGGAAGGGGAGGAGAGGGTCAAGAGGGCGAGGGTCGAGCCCGAGGAGGACGAGATGCGCGAGTGAGGGGCCGGGGCTCAGTAGAGCGGCTACATCTATCTTGTGCAGTGCATCGTATTGCCGTTCCTCTGTTCCTGGTCGTGCGAGACGTGGTCGCTTCCCCCCACACGCTCGTCCGCTCGGCTCCCCTTCTCACGCTTCCTCGCCCACGACAGCATGTCCGAGCCCAGCTCGACCTTGCCTCTCGAGCTCAACCACGACACACCAACCGCGCCGGATCCACCCGCCGCCGCGAGCGTGCCGCAGCCTCCACCAGCACCGGACGATGACGGCGGCGATGAAGAGGGGGGCGAGGCCCGCGTCTCGCACGAGGACAAGGGCAAGGGCAAGGCGCAGCAGGACCAGCTTGACCGCTACAGCTGTCACATCTGGTGCGCCCCTTTTCCTCACTCTCTCCCTCGCACCACCCGCGACTCCGAGCCCCCACTCCGAAGCTGCGCCCAGGCTGACCTCCCTCTCGCCCCTGCAACAGCCTCGACGTGCCCTCTGAGCCTGTCGTGACGCCATGTGGTCACCTGCACTGCTGGCCCTGCATGCACGAGGTGCGCCCGCTTCTCCCTCCCCTCCTCTTTGCCGTCCCGCGGCAAACGGTGCTCACCCTCGCTCGGTTCGACCTCGCAGTGGCTCGTCGAGTCGAACGGCCGAGCGTGCCCCGTGTGCAAGGCGCCTCTGACGGTCGACAAGCTCGTGCCGATCTATGCCGGCTCGGGCGACGAGACGGACCCTCGGTGCGCTCCGGCCTCTCCTCCTCCCCTCTCTCGAGCACGTCTCTCTGACTCAACTCGCGCCCCGCCCTGTCGCAGCTCGAAGCCGATCCCTCCACGACCTCGACCCGCAGGCTCGACCGCCGCCGCCCCAGCCTACCGCTCCACCTCGAGCGGCTCGTCCTTCTCGCTCCAAGCCGGCCTCTTCCCCCTCCCCGGCCTCTCGCTCGGCTTCTCGTGGCCCCCGCCCCCCGCAGGCGACGCCGGACCTGCCCCAGGCCACCCCGCCGTGATCGTCGACGGCGACCCGGACTCGGGCGCGCCCTTCTACGTCGCGCAGCCCGCGACGCTCGTGCGCAGGGCGGCACAGCCCGTCGACTGGCGCACGGCCCTCATGCAGCAGGCTTTCATGGTCCTCTTCTTTGCCGTGTTTGTAGCCATCACGTTCGCCGGTGCAGAGTGAGCAATGTACGAGTCGAACCCGCTCTCAGGCCTCGAACGGCGCTCGCCTCTCCGAGAGCGCTCGAGAGTAGCGAAAGCACGTGAAATGGCAACAAGGGAGAGCACAGACTATCAACGTCCCTCCTCAGACCCTCTCTGCCCGGCGAGCGCCGCCCTTGGCGCCCGGCTGCGGCCCACCTCGCGCGAGCGACGCGCGCAGCTGCGCCAGCTTGTCGCGCTCCTGCTCCTGCATGGCCGTCGACAAAGAGGTCAGTACACGCATAGAGAGAGAGAGAGGAAAGGAGGGAGCGAGTGGAAGAGGGACGCACCGCCTCGCGCTTGCGCTCGTCCTCCCTGCGCCGCCGGACCTCCTCCTCGCGCCGCTTCTGCCGCTCGCTCCACTCTGCGCGCGCCTGCCGCAGCTGCTCGAGCTCGGCCGCGACGCCCGTCTTGGGCGCTGCAGCTGCTCCTGCCCCGGCGCTCGAGCCACCGGCCGGCGCGTTCTCCTTGGCCCGCTGGACGGCGACCGGCGCGCGCCGCGGACCCGCCACCGGCGGCGCGCCCTTGGTCACGGGAGCCGGAGCAGGCCCGCTCACGATGCGCGCGCGCTTGACCGGGCCCGGGCGAGCCGGCGCAACAGCCTCGAGCGCGCGGCGGACCCTCGTGCCGGCCGCGTGCGGCGGCGCCGCAGCGGAAGCCGGCGCAGGGACGCGTGCAGGGCCATGGACGCCACGGGCACCGCCGAGCGTGCTGCGCTCGCGCGCTTGCCACGCGCCAAGCTGCGCCGTGAAGAGCGGCGAGGCCGGGGCCGTCGCCGAGGCCTGAGCGCGACGAGGTGCTGCCGGCGCTGCTGGTGCGGGCCCTTGCGGCGGTACACGGCGCGAGACGCAGGCTACCGCTGCGGCGGAGGAGCTGGATGGCCCGGGTGCGCGGGCTTGGGCGTAGGACGCGGTGGCGGTCGAGGTGGATGCGGCGGCGGGCTCGGGTGCGCGCTCGGCGGCGGCGGCGGCGGCGGCGACGGCGTCGACGACGTTCGACGAGGTCGACAGGCCGGGCGCGACGTTGGTCGGGAAGGGCTGCAAGGAGCGGGTCGGTCAGTACGAGGACGAGGTGAGAGGCCGCAGGCAGAGGAAGGGAGCGCACCTGCTCAATTTGCCCCTGCTCCTCGACGTGCTCCTGCTGCTGCTCGAGCACCATCCCCTGCTCCCGACGAGCCTGGACCTGCTGCGCCACTGCTTCTGCAGCCACCGCGGTGACCGCCGCCTCCTGCACGTCCTCCACTTCCTCCTCGACGTCCTCGAGCCGCCCCTCGGACGCCCACAGCGACACTCTCCGGTCGAGGTCGACCCTCGGACCCGCACGGCGCGTGTTGCGCTCGAGCGCCTCGCGCGTGAGGGCGACAGGCTCGGGCGCCGAGACGGGCTCGTGCGCAGGCGCGGCGGGCACGGCCGCGTGCTGTGCGGCGGGTGAGGACGAGCGCAGGTGCGAGCGCTCGATGGTCGGGGCAAGGCCGAGGTGCGGGACAACTCGGGCGGGCGAGGACGAGGCGAGATGCGGCGGCGCCGAGCGGACTGGCGGTGCGGCCGACGAGGTCGAGCGGGCGAGCGGGTCGACGAGGCGTTGACGCTGCGGGCCGATAGCGGTCATTAGTATCGGTCCGCTGTACGCGACGCGAACGAGAGAAAGAGAAAGGAGCGCACCTTGTGCTCCTGCCCCTCCTTGGCCGCTCCACTGCTCGCGACAGCCCACCCACCGACCTCGTCCCTCTTCCTCTTCCTCTCCTCGACCACCTCCTCGACATGCCGCTCCCTGCGCTCCTTCTCCTCGACGCGGCGTACCCTCTCGGCCTCGCGCACGGCCGCAAGCTCCGACTCGGCGTCGGCGAACGAGAAGGACGACGGGAGCGTGACGCCGCCGATGACCTTGCCCGGCGGCGGCGGGACGCGAGGTGGCTCGACGTAGACGTGTTGGTGTGCCACGGTGGCGTTCAGGACGTGAGGCTGCGAGGTCGAGGCGGACCGAGGGCGGGAAGTCGACGCCGTGTGCGAGGGCTTGAGCGGCGCCGACGAGACCGGCGCCCTCAAGGGCGAGGTCGTAGCTCCATGCGCCGTCTCCTGGACGGCGACCTGCTCCTCGGCGACCGGAAAGAGCCTTGAGGCGCGCCTTGCCGACGTCTTGAGCGTGCCGGAGGCAGACAGCGAGACCGTCTCCTCGATGCGGGTCGACTCGGCGATGCGGGTCGCCTTGGCGGGCCTGGTCGGCGGCGTGGGCGGTGCAGGTGCGAGCGAGCTGCGTCCGGGGCGGCGGCTCGAGGACGAGGCGTCGAAAGTGGCCGTCGAGGCACGCGCAGGCGGGACGACGTTGGCGGCCGGGGCCGAGTCGGCCGGGACGCGGGATGCGCGCCGCTGCGAGCGCGACAGCGTACCAGAACTCGACGACGCCGATGCCGCGAGGAGCGCAGGCCCTGCGGCGGTACTGGCGGCGGGATCCGCCGGGCCGGGCGCAAGGAGCACCACCCGGACCGCCTTGCCCATCGACGGTCGTGCGACGCGGCGGTGGGCCGACGACATCGAGGCGACAAGGTCGCTCGGACCGGCCTTGGAGAGCGTGAGGCGCGAGGCCCGCCGACGACGCTTGACCTGCGCGCCCGACGCCGAGCCGAGCTCGTCGCCCTCGTTCTGCTCCTCCAGCTTGACCTCGGTCGGCGCCGGCGCGACGGGCTCCTCGCCGAGAGGCGCAGGCGTCGAGGCGATCGAAGCCCTGCTCACCTGGGGCTCGCGCTGCGGCGCGGTCTGGCCGTCGGCCTTCTCAGCGACGAGCTCCCGGCCGGCCTTGCGGGCGGCGGGCCGCGCCGGCGTGCTCGTGACGCCCTGCGCCTGCGCCGCATTGACGCCGAGGCCGAGAGCGAGCCGGCCGCGCTGATGCTCGGGCCCGGCAAAGTCGAGCGGCGCGCCCATCGAGGGCAGCGACGAGTCGGCGTCGAAGGCGAGGATGGGCAGGGGCGAGTCGTCGTACACGTCGCCGCCGACGAGCTCGGTACGCGCGAGCGAGGAGCGCGCCGATGCGGGCTCAGGCTCGCAAGCGGGTGCAGGCGCAGGAACGGGCGCGGGAACGGGCTCGTGCGCACTCGCGGTCGTGCTCGTGCCCTGCCCAGCTCGCGCCGCCTCGACACCGTCCACCTCGTCCTGCGCCACGCCCCTTGGACGCCGCTGCCCCGCCTTCTTGGCCGCCGCCTCGCGCCCGAGTCGCTCCTTGCGCTCTCGCGCGGCCCGCTCGCGCTCGGCCTTGGCCTCGCGCACTCGACGCCTGGCCTCCTCGTCGACGTCGGGCACGCCCTTCTCGGCTGTGAGACGCTTCTTGACCGGCTCGGCGGGAGGCGGAAGGGAGGAGGAGGAGGCGAGGAGACGAGGAGGGCGGGACGCGATCGCGAGGGGTTGGCGGGCGACAGGTGCGGGTTGGACGAGCGGCGGCGGGATGCCCCGCGTCGGCGGTCGAGGCGGCCCATCGACGACTTGCGGCGCCGACGAAGCTGCCTCGTCCTCGTTGACCGGCGCCGTCTTGGCGCCGAGAGCGACGGCTGCAGGCGCAGGCGACGGCTGCTGAGCCCGCTCGTTTTTGGGCGAGCGCGACGGCGAGACGGTCTTGGGCTCGTCGACAACGTCGGACACGTCTCGGCGTAGGCCTGCGACGTCCTCGGTCGGCGCAGAGACAGCGCGGGCGTCGACGACGAGCGGACGAGCCGCAGCTGCCGACAGGCGGTCGAGCGTCGCACGGCGGTCGACTGGAGGAGGCGTTGCAGCTGACAGGGCCGGCGTCCGACTCGACGATCGCGCTCTCGCCGTGCCGACCGCATCGACGGCGGGCGGCGGCGGGTCGAGGCGGAGCGGGCAAGCGGCCGGGGGCGACGGCGGAACAGGCGCGACGGCCGGTGGCAGCGTCCCGACGCTGGACGCCGCCGACGGCTCGGTGAACGCGGCGGAGGAGGGCGCGGACAGGTCGCGGGCAGGCGACGACTCGACGGTGAGGGGTGCCGCGAAGCTGGTCGGGGAGGAGGGCGGTCGACTGTTGGCCGGGGCCGGCTCGGCAGTCGTTGAGGACGCGACATCTGTAGATAGAGGTGTCAGGAACCTAGCCGAAGGGGAGCAGGAGCGGCCGAACGCACCGGCTTGCGGAACCTGCAGCTCGAGCTGGTTGTCGACCGTCTCGACGAGGTCGTCCTGCGTCGCCTCGCCATCGCTGTCGCCGCCTTGCGCGAACGTGCCGTCTTGGAGCATCGACTCGTCGTCGACGAGGACGGTGGCTCTTGCGCGCGCAGGTGTCCTTGCGCCGAGGGTGAAGGCGCTCTGGTCGGCGAGCCAGCTGGGCTCGGCCTGGTCGATGAGGGCGCCGTGGTTGTCCGAGGTGGGCGAGTCGAGTAGGGCATCGAGGTCGAAGCGGCTCAAGTCGCAAAGACTACGACCCGGCGTGGCCGGTGGTGCGAGAGGGCGCGTGTTGACTGAGGACGAGGTGGGGAGGGGGACAGGGCGAGGGAGGGCGCTTGAAGGTGGGCGGTCTCTGCGCACTGGCAGCATGGACTGGTGCGGTGCCATGGCGAGGCAGCGCTGCCCAGTCTGGGCGATGGAGCGGTACGGGAGGAGGGGCGAAGGGCGTCGCTCTCCTCCCACCTTGGTCGCGCACAAACACACTCCTCGCTCGCCTCTGCTGCTCTCGCTGAGCCGGGCGATACACGGCTCGAGCATACTCTGTGCTCAATGAGCTGTCCACCCTCGCGCCCGAGCTGGCGGCCGCAGTCCGCACCTCCTCCCGGCGGGCGAGTGTGCGCCTCTGCCACCGCTTGGCCACCGCACTCGAGCGCTTGTGCGGGCGAATGCGCACTCTCTGGAAGCTCCCGTGCGGCTGCATGAGAGCTCCAGCGCTGCAAAAGGCGCGACACTGGCTCCTGTCCGCCGGACAGTCCGCGGACTCGGCTTGTCCGCTCTCACGCACGCCGTCGCCGACCCTCTGCCGCAAGATCCGCTCCTGCGTCTACTCGTACTTTGCTCCCTCGACCTCGAGGCTCTCGGCAGCACACACGCTATGCTCGCCGTCTCGCTCCTCAGATCCCTCGCCGCAGCGCTCTGCGCCTCGTCCGCCCTCGCCGCCATCTCAGTCACGACGCAGCAGACTGTCGAGGTCGGCGAGGCGCTCAAGTTTCAGTGGACTGGCGGCTCACCGCCGTACGTCGTCAAGATCCTCGTCGACGACAAGGTCGTCTCGCAAGCCGAGGTGCGTCCCTCGCCGTCCTCTTCCTCCTGCCCTCTCCTCGTTGAACAAGGGACTGACGCTCTCACGCGCAGGGCTGGGAGGGCACGTCGGTACAGTGGCGAGCGCCCAAGAGGGACGTACCTGTCGGTTCCGAGGTCAAGGTCCGCGTCGCCGACAAGAACGGCGAGTCGGTCCTGAGCGGCGCGACGACGGTCCTCGCCGTCGGCGGAACCGCCCCGTCTTCCTCGAGCAACGACTCCGACGAGCCCGGCAGCAGCCACGGTCACGGCGGCAGCAGTGGCGGACAGCAAGGTGGCTCGTCCGACGCGCACGACGGCGACTCGGCGGCGACCGGCAAGTTTGCCGCCATGACCGACCCGCTCCAGTCGAACGGCGTCGACGAGGCCACGGCGAGCGTGCCCATGGGCACCTACGGCGACGGAGAGCTCACGGGCGCACGCGGTGGCGCGACCGACTACAACCAGCTCGGGTGCGTCCGCATTCTCTCTTCGTCTCTTCGCCTCGCCACCGGGCCCCTCGGGCCACCTCTCGCAGCAAGACCCGCGTCTGACATGCCCATACGGTGCAGCAACGACGCCAACGAGCCGACTGCGGCGTCCACGTTCGCGCTCGACCCGTCCGACACGCTCGCGGCCGACGACTCGATCGCGACGGGCGGGATCAGCGCCGCCGGCGCGACAGCTTCTGCGGCGGCGACATCTGCCGTGACGGCCGCCGCGACCGCGTCGGCGTCAGCGTCGACGGGCTTGACGGCGAGCGGCGCTGCGACAAGGTGCGCCGGGACCTTCTCAACTTCATCTCTCTCGACCTGCGACTGACAGCCTTCCGTTCCTCCTCCTCGTTCATCAATAAGCAGCGCATCATCGGCAGCCGCAACAGGCTCGTCGTCGGCCTCATCCTCCTCGTCGAGCAGCAGCACCACCGACGAGACCGACTCGTCGTCGTCCTCGGGCCCGAGCACCAGCCTCATCATCGGCATCATCGCGCTCGTCATCGTCATCCTCGCCGCTATCGGCGGGTTCTTCTGGTACCACAAGCGGCAGGCCGCCAAAGCCGCCGAGGCCGACGCCGCCGCGGCGAAGAAGAGCCGCAGGAAGGGCAAGGGCAAGCGCGGCGGCGCGCAGCTCTCGAGCGATGAGGACCACGCCGACGAGGAGAAGCTCGTCGGCGGCGGTGGCGGCGGGCGCGGGACGCCGAGCGGCAGCGAGACGGAGCCAAGCGACGCAGAGGGCGGCGCGAGGCGGGGCAAGAAGCGCGGCGGCGGTGGCGGCGGCGGGGCATACCGCGACGATGTCCCGACGGACAGCGACGCCGGGTACACGGACGAGGAGCAGCAGCGAGGGCCGGCGAGCAAGAGTGGCGCGAGGCGGTAGCTGTCGGTGCGAGGCGAAGGGCCAGGACGGCGGCGAGCAGGCGGTATGCGGCCGAGGGCGAGTCGCAGTGCGGAGTGTGCAACGAGAGTCTTCTCCTCGACCAAGCGCCCAGCAGCAGCGACCAGACGAGCGAGCCTGTGCCGATCCGGAGCGGCGCCGTGTGCGAGTCGAGGAGGAGGAGAGCACTGCGTTGCCGAGTGCGCTTCGAGCCGGGCGGCGGGTGCAAGGAGCTTCTCGTGGCTGCGGCCAGCTAGACCACCGCGAAAGCAGAGTGCGCGACGTTGGTCGAGACGCGGCCTCGAGATGACGGATGCGAGCGGCGGCCGGCTCTTCGCGACCCGCCCTCGACGACCCTCTCGCCTGCACGCGCTCGAGCAGCTCAGAGCTCTTCAGCTACCTCGCACGAGGCCCCTCCCGCCCTACCGAGCGCCCCCGATGGCGTCCTCGTCGCGCCTCTGCCCTCGCCTCGTCCCCGCGAGCGGCCGCTCTCACCCTGCGGCCCAGTGGCTCCTGCAGCCGCAGCGAGTAGCGCACCGTGGCGCAGCACCCGCACGACCCTTCAGCACCAGCTCGCCGCTCCCGCAGCGAGCGCCGTCGTCGCCCGGCCTCGTCGGCCTTCGATCAGCCGCCCTCCCTCATCGCTCGCCGCCCTGCGCCGTCACCACCTCGCCCTTTGCCCCGCTCGCCAAGCGGATACGCACGCACGCGCGATGGGCGTCGACTGAGCAGAAGGCTCGAGCCGTCGAGTCAAGCGGCGAGACGGGCGAGGCGTCGGTCAAGGCGGGCAAGGAGGTGACCCGACCGGCGGCCGACGAGCACGAGGACGACGCAGCAAAGAACGCCAAGGACAAGGTCAAGATGAGCGAGGTGCGACGGCTCATGACCCTGGCTCGGCCAGAGCGCAAGACTATCGGCATCGCCATCGGCCTCGTGCGTCTCTCTTCCTCCCCCTCCCGACTCCCTCTCCCGGCGCGAGCCACGACAGTCCCACTCACCCGTTCTCTCCTCGCGACACAGCTCTGCATCTCGTCTACGGTCTCGCTGTCCATCCCGCTCGGTATCGGTCGCATCATCGACATCTTCTCGGGCCAAACCACCAACCTCCCCGTCTCGGTCCCGACCGCGGCCGGCCTCCTCACCCTGTTCTTCGCCATCGGTGCCCTCGCCAACATGGGCCGGGTCATCCTCATGCGCATCAGCGGGCAGCGCATCGTCGCCCACCTGCGCGAGGCGGCGTACGGCAACGTGCTGCGCCAGGACATCGGCTGGCATGATCTGCAAGGGGCGACGACCAAGACGCCGCCGTCGGTCGAGAGCGGCGCTCCCGCCGCCACCGCCACCGCTCCCGCCCAGTCGCAGCAGAGCCCGTCGGCCCAGTCGACGGCGGTCGCGGCGGTCAAGGACACGGGCGTCCGGTCGACGGGCGACGTCATCTCGCGCCTCGGCTCGGACGCGAGCATCGTCGGCGAGAGCCTCACGCGTGAGCTGAGCGACGGCCTGCGCGCCGTCGTCACGGCCACGGTCGGCATTGGCGCCATGCTGTACATCTCGAGCAAGGTGACGGCCGTCATGCTCCTCATCGTCCCGCCCATCTCGGTTGCCGCCGTCTTCTACGGCCGGTTCCTCAAGAAGCTGTCGCGCCGCACGCAGAAGGCCGTCGGCGAGATGGTCGCCGTTTCGGAGGAGCGCCTCGGCGCCATCCGCACCGTCCAGGCGTTCAACGCCGTCGACCCGGTCGAGACGAACCGGTTCAAGGCCAAGGTCAACAAGGTGTTCGAGCTCGCCAAGACCGAGGCGTGGGCGTCGGGCCTCTTCTTTGGCGGCACGGGCTTTGCCGGCAACGCGACCGTCATCGCCCTCCTCACCTACGGCGGCACGCTCGTCGCTCGCGGCGAGCTCACGGTCGGCAACCTCATCTCGCTCCTCACCTACACCGTCTACGTCGGCAGCAGCCTCGCCGGCCTGACCTCCTTCTTCGGGTGCGTCCACGCCCTCTCTTTCTCGTCTCGCGCCTCGCGGCGGCCCGGATGGACCGACCCTGACCCCTCGACCTTCCGCAGCACGATAATGAAGGGCCTCGGCGCCTCGTCGCGCGTGTTTGAGCTCCTCGACGCTCGCCCCCTGTCGGTCAAGCTCGGCGTCGGCCGCCCGCTCCCTGTCTCGACCCCTCCTCGCCGCCTCGTCTTTGACGACGTCCACTTCAGCTACCCGTCGCGCCCTCACGCCGAGATCCTGCGCGGCGTCAACCTGTCGATCGAGCCGGGCAAGATTGTGTCGATCGCCGGCGGGAGCGGGTCGGGCAAGTCGACGCTCGCCAACCTGCTCGTGCGGTACTACGACCCGACGAGCGGCAAGGTCCTGTACGGCGACGACGACATCAAGCAGTTCACGCCCGAGTCGTGGCGACAGCGTATCGCCATCGTGCCGCAGGACCCGGCCCTCTTTTCGACCACCATCGCCGAGAACAGTCCGTCCCTTTCCTCTGCCTCTCAGCCTCGTGCCGGCTCTCGCAGCCGACACAGACCGTTTGAGCTAGTGCCGAAGCCTGACATCTCGGCCTCTTCCTGCCCACAGTCGCCTACGGTCGCCCCTCGGCAACCCGCGCCGAGATCGAGGAGGCGGCTCGTCTCGCCAACTGCGGCTTCATCGACACCCTCCCGCGAGGCTTCGACACGCAGGTTGGCGCTCGTGGTGCGCAGCTCTCGGGCGGCCAGCGTCAGCGCCTCGCGATTGCGCGTGCCCTGCTGCAGAAGCCGCGCATCCTCGTTGCCGACGAGTGCGTCCACCCCTCCTCTTCCTCCTTCCTTCCCGACCAGCCGTCGACGAGGTCTGACGATCTCCTTCACGCGCAGGGCTACCTCGGCACTGGACGCGGCGAGCGAGAGCCTCGTCAACGAGGCCATCGCCAACATCAGCGCTTCGCACCAGCTCACGACCATCCTCATCGCGCACCGGTGCGTCCCTGTCACCTCTCGTCGCACGTGCGAGCTCGAGTACTCATCTCGAAGTCTTGACTCGCAGCCTGTCGACGCTCAAGACGGCCGACGTGGTCGTCATGATGGAGAACGGCGTCGTCGCCGAGCAGGGCACGTACGACGAGCTGTCGCGCGAGGGGACGCGGTTCAACTACCTCGTCCGGAGCCAACTTCTCGGTGCAGGGCCGTCGCTGGCGGCAGGAGCAGGGGCCGGTGCGACGACGCAGGCGCAGCAGTAGTCGGTGGAGCGAGGGAGGGCACGAGCGAGTTGCAGTCGATACCCCTTGTTTTCGCGCTCTCGTGTCTGTGAGCTCTTTCATGAGCCAGAGCTCGAGAGGTCCTGTCGTGCTCTGCAGTGCGTCGAGCGTGCGAGAGCTCGACGAGGGCGGCCGAAAGTCTCATCTCGGATCTCGTCCTCCCCAACCTCCACCCTCGACAGCCTCTCCCACCGAGGCATGGGCCGCACGCCAGTCCGCAAGGCCGCACCTCAATCACGCTCGCTCTCGTCCCGCCTCGGCAGCGCCCTCCCCAGCGGCGCCTCGACTCCCTCGCGACCCTCGCCTCTCCAGTTCGACTTTGCCCCGCCGACGACGACCGACACCGACAGCCAGAGCAGCATGCCGGCCCAGAAGCGCACCTTTGACGACCCTGTCGGTCCCGCCACGCCCGCCTCGGCCGCAGCCAAGGACGGCAGCGGCAAGAAGCCTCGCCGCACCCGGCGCGGCGGCGTCGCCCACAAGCGGGCACGCGCAGCCGAGGCGACCAAGCAGGACGGCGGCGACGACGACGACGGCGGCCCAGCTGTCGAAGGCGACTTTGACGACCTGTTCATGGTCGACACGACGCCGGCTGCCGTCCGCGAGCAGGACCGCTTCGTGCCCACGCCGTCGGCCGCCGCCGCCGCCACCGACTCGCCGCTCAAGCAGGGCGCCCACGGCGAGAACGGCGAGCAGGAGGAGGACATGCTCACGGCGCCGGTCGCGCAGTCGGAGGGCGAGGCGCTCCCGGCGGACGAGCTCGCCGAGGACGAGGACGGCGACCGGACGATGGACAGCGACGACGTGCTGCGGGCGTTTGCTCGCGAGGTCGCCGACACGGACGACGAGGACCTGTCGGACGAGTCGGACGAGGACGAGGACGACATGCCGACCCCGGTCGTGCCGGCGCCGCTGTACGACAACGAGGAGGACCTGCAGAAGGCGATCGAGGGCCGCATCGTCGACGACAGCTCGGCTCCTGTGCGCTCCACTCTCTCTTCTGAACTCTCGTCCTCGCGCATCGTGCTCACCCATCGAGGCAGGTCACTGGGCGGTACTACAAGGAGGCCGACCTCACCAAGACCTGCGTCCTCTGCGGCGGTGCGTCTCGCTCTCCCTATCCTCCTCCTCTCCCTCTCGACGGGCCTGACGCCTTGCTGGTTACGCAGAGCATGGCCACAGCTCGCGCGACTGCACGCACTCGCAGTGCTTCGTCTGCGGCAAGATCGACGCCGACCACGAGGCGCGCGACTGCCCCGTTGCGCTCGTCTGCATGGCCTGCGGCTCTCGAGGGCACTTTGCGAGGGTGCGTCCGCGTTCCTCTTCCTCTTCGGATCGCGAGCCGACCGGACCCTGACGATCTCGCCGAGCAGGACTGCACCGTCAACCCGGGTGGCGGCGGACGAGGCTTTGGCGCGTCTCGGTGCTCGCTCTGCCCGAGCAACAGCCACATGACGATCGTGCGTCGCCTCTTTCTCATTCTCTCACTCGACGTTCAGCGCCTGATCGAGCTCGGGTCGACCTTGTAGAACTGCCCCTCGCACTGGCGCGTCTACGACACGTCGGGCCCGAAACCGCCCAAGCGCAAGGTCGTCCTCGCGTGCGCCAACTGCGGCAGCACAAGGGACCACTTCATCGACGACTGGTGCGCCCCCCTCTCGCCTCTCCCCTTTGTCGCGCCGTGCACGGACCCTGCCCGTCGTCCCCGGCTCTCGACTGACACGCCGTCCTTCTCCTCCTCCCTCTGCCTCCTCGCGACGCCTCTCTCTCGCAGCTTCCTCCCTCGTGGTCACCCGATGAAGCACGCCGAGCCCTCGGCCTTCAACCGAGCCGCCCTCGGCTCCTCCTTCTCCGGCGCGCCCTACCCGTCCTCCTCCTCGGCCTCGGCCTCGGCCTACGGCGCCGCCGCGCCCTCGGGCCGCCGCAGCGGCGGCGCGACGGGCAAGCTCGACCGGCGACCGACGGGCGCGAGCGCGCAGCGGTACGCCGGCGCCGAGGACGACGACGACGACTGGTTCGCGAGCCGGTCGAGGGCGGGTGGCAGCGGTGGGCGCTCGGGCGGCGGCGGCGGCGGGCGAGGGGGCGCTGCACGAGGTGGTGGAGGAGGAGGAGGCGGTGGAGGGTACGGGCCCGGCGGCAGGGGGACGCACACGCACTTTGGCGGCGGCGGGAGCGACCGAGACGATGGGCGGTCGCGGCACGACGGCCGAGGGGGAGGAGGAGGGAGGGGCGACTACCACGACCGCGACGGGTACTCGATGTACCGCGGGTCGGGCAGCGACAGTCGGAGCGAGGGCCGGAGAGGCGGCGACGGTGGTGGAAGAAGGGACAGCGGCCGCAACGGCTCGGGTTCGAGCGGTGGCGCGAGGCTGCTCGACCGGTTTGGCGGCGGCGGCGACAGCGGCGGTGGACCCGGCGGTGGGCGCAGCGGCGGGCGCAAGCCGAGGTACCAGGGCGGGTACGTCTGAGCAGCTCTGCGCTGGCGACGAGGTGCAAATCGCCGTTCTTGCTCTTCCTCTTTCTCTCTCGTCGTGAGACTCGAGATGAGACCGAAAGCTCGTTACAGGCACGACTAGGAGAGGCTGAACAGAACGACGCAAAGGGAGACAGAGAGATCCGAGGGAGAAGGAGCGCGAGGTGACGAGGAAGGGCGAGGAGGCGCGAGCGGTTATCGCCGGCTGCGTGCGCTCATGAGAGCCGCAAAGACGATACCTGCTGCTGCTGCTGCGCCACCGGCAATGGCCATGCCGACGTAGCCCTCTGCGCGCACGAGAAGGAGGTGAGCGAACGCCGCCGAAGCCGTCGCCGCCAGCGCTGGCGTACGAGGGCATGAGCGCCAGGAAGAGGCGACGTACCCTTGGACACTGCCTGCTCGACGAGCTGATTGAGGCTCTGGGCCTGGATGTTGTTCGGCTCCTTCTCGAGGAGGAGGCCTGTGGGTGCGAGACGAGGATCAGTCCCGCTCGTCCTGCCGACGCTGCGCCGCCGGGTCGAGGGGATGAAAGATCTGCACGACGCACCGTTGTAGCGCTTGGCCTCGGGGTAGTTGCCGAGCTTGTAGTGGCCGACGGCGAGGAAGTAGAGGCACTCGCGGCGGCGAGACGGCTCGGTGCGGTAGATGTCTGCGGGTGGAGGCAGCGATGGGTCAGTTCGCCTCGCCATACTGAGGCTCTGCAGCCGCACTCGAGGGCAGCTGCGCGAGCCACCGAGAGACACGAAGAGAGAGCGGCCGACGCACCCATGAGGAGCGCGACTCCCTCGCCGACCTCGACCCGGTTGTCGCTCTTGACCGAGCCCCACGCAAAGTTGAACTTGGTCTGGACCGAGACCCACCCTTTCGCCGACTCGTCGAGGTACTGCTGCCGCAGGACGGCGAGCTCGTTGGCGGTGAGCGGGCTCTGCGCGTCGACGGCGGCTGCGCGGCAGATGGGGCGACGTGTCAGTGCGCTCAGGGCAGTGTGGCGGGGAGACGGGGCGTACCTGGAAGGACGTCGGAGGGCATGCTGTAGTGAGGTGGACCAAGAGCGATGAGGCCCGTCCAGGCGAAGCGACGAGGCGGTGCAACTCTGCGCTCGCTCTCGACGTGGCTCTCGAGCGAGGCTGTCAAGCTGGTCCTGGTGCTTCCGAGTGCAGGCGGCTGTCGTGGCCTTGAGCAGAAGGCAGGCTTCGACCGGCGAGGCGTTGCACCGCCTCGTCTCTCGCTCTCGCTCTCGCTCTCGCCACCGCAAAGCCCGAGTCCGTGTCAGGGGGCGTTGCAGCTTCGAGTGGTACAGGGGTAGAGGCGCGCCGCAGCGACTGTGCGTGTGGGTGTCTGTAGGGCGAACGCAAGAGGCGGACGCAGGGTGGAGGAGGAAAGGAGGGTCGAGCGGTCGAGGCGGTCGAAAACGACTGAGCGAGGTCGAGGGTGAGGTGTGACGAGAAGGGAGGGAGGGGAGAGTGTCGGGAAGGGCGTGGTACAACAGGCGCAGCTGTGCGGCGGGCGAGCGCGGCGGACCGAGGCGGAACTTGTGTTCGATCGAGACGGTGCCACCTAGACGAGCCCGTCGTAGAGCGAGAGCGCCTGCGACCAGTCGAAACGGGTCAGTCTCTACAGCTCGAGAGGACGCTCGAGTGTGGCACAGAGGAACGGTCGCGGCGGACGCACCTGGACGATGGTCGGGTCCTTCTTTGAGCCCTCCTTGAACTCCTCGAACGTGACTACGCGTTGAAGAAGGTCAGTCCGCGTCTCGATGAGTGATCACGCACGTCGGGAGGGCCTCGACGAGCGCGAGGGGTAGGACGAGAGAGAGAACCGAGCCGACGCACGCTGGTGGTCGTGGTTGAGGTCCATGAGGGCAAAGATCTTGTTGACGCGCTTCTCGGCCGTGTCCTCGTCCGGCGGAAGCTTGACCATCTCGCCCGTCATATCGTAGATCGACTGGACGATTTTGAGCATCTCGTCGTACGTAATGAGGCCGTCGTTGTTGATGTCGTACAGCTGGAACGCCCCTGCAGGACGAGGGTCCCGATGCGCCGGCGTCAGTGGACGTTCTCAGAGCGCGGCAGTACATGAAGGAAGGTCGGCCTCAGGCCGAGGCCGACCATGAGACGCGCTCGAAGAGAGAGGAACCGCCGGCGCACACTGGAGCTTCTCGTCGAGCTTGCCTCGGCTCGTGATGGAGAGGGCGGCGATGAACTCCCTGAAGTCGATCGTGCCGTTGTTGTTCTTGTCTGTGCGCAGGGTAGAGGCGGGTGTGAGCAAATGCGACCAGTCGTTCGAGGCGCTGCTCACCGACCGCATAGAACGGCGAGAGCGCCGGCGCCTGGCCCCAGGGAGCTCGCCGAGGGAGAGCGGGACGCACCAAAGACCTTGAAAACGTGCTCGGCAAACGACTTTGGGTTGCCAAAGGGGAAGAACTGCTTGTAGATGCGGGCGAACTCCTCCTGGTTGAGCTGGCCCGAGGGGCAGTCCTTGGTAAAGCCCTTGTACCTGCGCGCGGTACCGGGTGTCAGCGTCCACATAGGGAGAGAGAGGGGAGCCAAGGAGATGGGACGGACCACTGCTGGAGCTCCTTCTTGTCGACTGGGGCGTGCGAGGTGGGTGGGGAGGAGAGTGGGAGGGAGAGAGTCAGCGAACGGGCTCTCGAGGGCCAGGCACGTGGGTGGTGCCGGTCGCAGAGACAGTGTCGAGCACGACTGTGGTGCATTCTGCGGTGCACGCGGGGTTGCTGAGCGAGGGCGAGTGGCCGAGGTGACGAGGGTCGGGGGGCGGTGCACGGTCGTGCGAGGGTGTGCGGGCTGACGGGGGGGGGGGGGGGGAGGGGGACGGCCTGGGTCGTCAACTCCATCGTGAGGCACTGCTCTTCGTCCCGGGCAACGCCGGCATCACTCTTCCCAAAGTCGCCGTCGACCGGGAGGTGGGCGACCCGTCGGTGAGCCCGACCGGCCTCGCGCCGCCAGACCAGCGTCTGCGCCGGCATGTCGTCGTC